TGACATCAGTTCTGACATCGAATCCCAAAAATCTTCGATAAACTATAATCATTTTACTGTAATATTTACTTACTAAATATAATAACAATCAATCCAATTTCGTATAAAATATACTCTAACACCAGAGATTCGAACCTACACAGCTTACAATTTACATGTTATGCATAGTTCTGAAAACCTTGCTCTAAGTTTGACATAAGTATACAGGACAATGCCTAATGCTACAAATTATACACTAGGTAGGTGTCAAAATATAGAGCACCCATCCTTGAATGTCAGAATCATAGGTTCAGTACCAATATCACGATCTCAATTACGCCGACACTAAAATTGCTATATCATTCTGTCGGCCTGTGACAAAAAAACCTATTTGTCCTGTAATTATATGTAGGTAATACGTAAGTAGGTACAGTGGCCTCTAACAAAACAGATTTGAATTACATGAGACTTTGTTGATATTTTCCAGTTTTTCTTTTTATACCTTGGACTGTTTAGCTAATAATAATAAAATTGCAATAATAAGGCGGTGCATACACAGCCAAATTCATAAATTGATTACATTATTATATTGGCATAAGAGAAAACACAAAAGTATGGTTTTTAACATTCTTTAAAATACCAGCACAATTTTACATATACAGCAATATTTTTAATACTATATTCTGAACTAAATAACTAACTAAATAAACCAACGCTGTTTATCCAAAAAGTTGCAAGAACTTAGCATTACAGGTGATTTCGTCAATAGAGATAAAATTCAAGAGCAACAAATCATATAAACATTCAAACATGCCTCTAAATATATAAAGGTTAAAACCTAGTCATTGCCCTCCATGTTAAGTTCAATTGAAATTTATTCCACGACTTGTAAATAAAAAAAATATGACTATAGACAATCGTTAGACAAGTGAATGATATAATCTGTATGACATTTCGTTAATCTCACCCTGAACGATTAGGTACCTAGCAATCGTGACCATGACTGCATATGGTATAACTTTTCACTAGTTATGATATAGGTCCTACTTAATAAGTGGATGAGATGAGAACATCCAATATTTTTTTCACCAAAAGGTGAGGCTTAAGGTTTAAGCTAGCTTTAAGCTATCTGAGATATTTCCCGGGAATTGAACCTGAGACCCCAAACCCAATGAGGCAGTCATTACTGACCTACTGACCTTGCAGAGCAACAGACTGACAGACAATTCTGTTTTAAAATAAGTATTAAAATACCACTCGACAATAGCAGTATAGTCGACAACTTCGTTTTGGAGACTCGGTTGCCAAAGTTGCCAAAGTATTATAATTTTGACTTCATATAGCAGGTATCTCCTAAGTAATAGGCATTTGTAATTAAAGTGGGTTTTCAACGTTATGACTCATTAACAAAGCTTATTGTTATATTAGTTTTGATTGTTGATTGATCTGACTCTAGTACTTAGATTTTAACTTGTTACAAAAAAAAAATTAAAACCGACCTATCTACCGACCTATATTTGAAAGTCCTGCAAAGCTTTTTATATTCGTAAACCTTCATCATTAAATTCTTGGCCAATTAATACACGAGAAAGGATAAGTACTTAAATAAAACAAGAATAATTGAACAACTCCACTACAAAATAAATATTGTATTAGTTATTACATCGGCCTTAAAAAATACACATTTGAATAAATAAATTCAGATTAGAAAATGATATTTCGAAATAAGTAAGTTTTCACGAACATTAGAATAATTTCAATGCGCGTATATCTAAAATTTAATTCGTGTATATATAAAACTAATTTCATAAAATTGAATGAACTCACCTTTACTTAAATGAAAATGCGTTGTAGATAAATGCGATGGGATTCACTTTGAAACAATAAATAATACTCCAAATAATTTTAATTTAGAAATTAATTTGTTATTTTAACTATGTATCAATTTCATAATTATTATTCCAAAAAACAATGTAGAAAAATACTTCATCACTTTTAAATTTTCACTCTAGAAAAAAAATCCCGCCTAAACGTAACACCACAGATAAAAAATTACATTCAGCCTATATTCAATTTTTATTTGCGGCCAGCTATTGTTTCGACTTCGTGAACGCGTAGGTGACCGTACAATGTATCCGAACCACTAGATAATAGGTGCCTAACTAAGTAAATGGAACTAGAGAGCCTGTGGCCTGTGCAACTAGCTGTACGAAGGATTCGACGCTTTGTTTTCATTGTTGTACGGTAATTTCAAAGTTAGAAAATATGACGATTGACATACATAGGTACAATAATTTTAAAATGATAATTATGGTCAATGATAAAATGACTGCCTCGTAGATTTCGTACGACCCGGTGAATATGGGGGTCCCATGTTCGATTACCGGATCGGGTAAAACATTCTTAAACTTAAAAAAATAATTCATAATATTGTGTTAATAAAGTTAAATTGCCTTTATTACATAGGACTAATAACATAACCATACCACCTAAAGTGGTACTAACGATGATACCTAATACTTACCTTTACAAGTTACGTACACATTGAATCCCAAAGATTTAAATATAACTTTAATCTTAACACACTTCTGTGAAAAGTCAACTTTATGACATCATATCGTAACGTATTGTCGCGGAGAACCTAACGGGTAACCGGGGCTCCGGCTCGACGTGCAGGAGAAGGAACGGGGTGGTTTTTAGTCAGTAAGGGTCTGGCACTCCCTTCCGCCTCACCCAGGCGGGAGCAGTCATTCGATGATTTTCCCCCTTAAAGAAAAAATCGTAACGTATTAAAACCTCATTGGACAAACATTGGACACGCGTTTTATTCATAAGTTATTCATAATGCACAATTTTATTTTAATATAAGTTTTGTACTCCTACATAAATATTGAACTACTACCTACGTTGAGTAGGTACCTACGTACTTAAGTATTCTACAATGGTTTGCAGTGGTAACAAACGTTTGCAATTTTATAACTAAGTACCACAGCCTCATAGTTTACATTAAATAAACAATATATAATGGGGCTTACCGTATTGCTCATTAGATGGCGCTAGGGTGAACTCTCGTTCTTCGTCCAATAGGGAATCAGATAGTGTCATATCATTGGACGTTCAATATTTGACAGCTGCTGTGATTGGACAAAAAACCCCTCACTAATTCCTTTTTCGCCAACTGACGACGACTAACAAAAAAACTTTAGCCCCTGTTATATTATAAGCAGTAGATAATTATTGTGTGTAATTATTTACAGCCTATAAGATAATGTGGAGAGCCATGCTACGGCACGCCTGAGCCGGATCGACCGGAGTGATACCACGGAGGAGCAATAATCCGACGTGAAACAACACTTGCGTTGTGTTTCGTCGTATGACTGAGGTTAGCGGAGACCCAATTATCCCCTCCTTAATCTCACCAATCCCCGAATCCCTAACAATCCTCAAATTCCTAATCCCCACTTGTAACGTCTCTGGTATTTCATGTGTCCATGGGCGGCCAACTTAAGGCCCTTTCAATTTATTGAAACTTGGTGGTTACATTGTTTGTCGAGCTATTCTGCACATGAGTATGAGCCCCTAATGTGGCTTGAAGTCGCGGAGAACCTAACGGGTAACCGGGCTACGGCTCGACGTGCAGGAGAAGGAACGGGGTGGTTTTTAGTCAGTAAGAGTCTGACACTCCCTCCCGCCTCACCCAGGCGGGAGCTGATTTTCGATGATTTTCCCCCCTTAAAAAAAAAGTGTGGCTTTAAACTAGCAGGGAGTAAAGGATGAACCACAAACTTTACTAAAATCCATTTATTCATTTATATTTACATTAAAATTCTTATTTAATGTCACTTATATGAATACTTAAATTAATAAAATTATCACATTCAATATTAATTATTATTTTATTTACTTACAACACGTAACTTACGACAAAAATATTCTTATAGTCTGTGTATATCTCTATTTCAATAATTCCATTTAATATAACATCTATATTGGGTTACAGTTTTTCTTTTAATTTATTGGGGATAATATAACTAACTACTGCCGCGCGGTTTCACCCACTGCTCGGGTCCTATTGATTGTAGCGTGATGTTTCGTAACCTATATTCTTCGTCAATAAATGGTCTATCTGACACAATAATTTTTATTGAAATCGGACCAGTAATTGCAGAGATTCGCGCGTTCAAACAAGCAAGAAAACTACAAGTTTTACAATATGAAGTAACATAAGTATAGATTATAAATTAATCTTGCTATATCTCTGTTGTAGGAGCTTAAAACCTTAATAAGGTATTATACACAAAAGAGTCTTAATTAAAACAATTATTAATTCAAACAATTTATACTTTTCTATACAAGATGATGAAATGGAGTATAATCCATAATATTTTGGTATTATTAAATTATCTTACGAGCGCTGGTAAACTAGAGACTCAATTTTATATCCAAAAATGTATACAGCTTTTAAGGTAACAACAATAAAAGACTGCGGCACACATTATTATACAATTAATTATATAATGTAACATCCACAGACGACAGACTTCATACAACCACTGTGAATATTCACTATCAAAATAAATGCCATTAGAGAAACAAAACATACATCTGTAATAGGGTAGTTTCCTACATTTTATTTTAATGTCCACCTGGTACATTGATTTAAAACTTTGGACACGTTTTTTTCTTTTCTCACAAAATTAAATACTTTCGACGATATTATATTAATTTGAAATATCGTGTGACGTCACAGAGTGCCACATTTTGTAGCACGTTATGACGTAACAACCTCCCACTCCTAAACTTAGCGTCATTTTATCAAAGTATTGCAACTTAATACGAGTGAATAAAAAATACATGTCTAATATTTTTTCATTATCTAACTGACGGACTAATTAGGTTTCTAATTTCAATACCCTGGAAACTACCACAATAACTAGTACAAAAAATGTTCCTATTAAAAATTACAGCCATGACATTGTTTCATATACGTATACAATGTACTTACGTAGTTACATAACATTTTATTCTATCGTTTGAAAAGCTATATTATCACAGCCTTTAGAGGTAGTATTAGTAATATAACACAAATCCTTCTTCTTGTTCTCCAGTTTTCTTTTCTTTATATGCTGTTGGTACTCCACGATGAAGTAGCAAGCTACACCGACAATCATCATGCCGAACATGAGGTACGTTTTGGCACTAGTCCTCAGATATGGGGATATGACATAGGCTATGATGTAGCCTACGGATTCCCACAGTCTGAAGTTGGAGAAGGCTGCCTCTTCTCTACCTGGGAACAGGAGGCCGTAGTATGCTGGAAAAACAATGTTTTTGTTAGATTGGACCAATTTATAGTACCATAGAAAGTTAAATGTTAACTTGATAGTCACATAATTTTGGATTTAGAGTTAGATGCCCTATAGTCTATTGGCTATGTGCACGACAGAGGCGACGCGTAGCGTTCACAACATTTGCGGAAGCTGTCAAATAATAACAATGTAAACATTATAATTTTCTTTGCAAATATAAATAAAGCCAAAGATTAAAATAAGTAGTATTGTTGACATTATTTAAGTGCAATTTATTCAATAGTTTTACTGTAAAATGAATATAATAATAAAAACAGGGTTTGCATCATCCGCATTTGTTTCCAATTTCTGCCGTGTTGTGCGCTGCGGTCGTTATCTGTCCGCCACTAATCGCTTTGCAAGTCATAGCTCCAGCTTAAAGCAGGAGTAGGAATGAAGTGACTTTTATTCAGTAAAACTTCGTTACCCACAGAGTGGGAAGAGTCATTTTATTTTTATTTTCTTTATTTTTATTTTTTATGACACATGCATTTAACTTTTTACCAAGCATCGCCAATTCAACAGTTTAAGGCGAAAATAGCGCTCTTAATTTTTATTCTTATACACGTGCACAATTTACTATTAGTAAGTTTTACGGCAGGACACATCACTATAAGTAGGTACATGGAATTTCTATTTTACAACAATGATTCTTTCAGTATGTTTTTGATTGTTAAACTTACTACATTCTTTATGTCTTTGTCTTATACAATCCAAGTTTTTAAATATGAATAGAGTTAAGTACTTATTTCTTGTTCTCTTACCATTCTTATGATTTTGGACGTACAAAAATGGCACATATTCGATATGCATTTTGATCAATTCGACCCAAAATTGATTTGATCCAAAAATTATCTGGTAGTGATTTATAACTAGCACTAATTTGCATTTTTCAGCGTAACTTTGAGACTTATTGAGAAATAATGTAAGACATAATTATATATGATGCATACGTACCATTAATCTGTACGATCCAAATGGAGTCACAGACCCCCCAGAGCACGGCGATGATGTACAGCACGTACTCCTCCCCAGCATGAGGCCGCCACGTCAGCACCGCCGTGAACAACGATGCGTGGACTATTGTCGCGCCGCAGAGCAGGGGCAGACGACCCGTTAACTGGAGATAATGTTAAAATTACTAAATTGGATAATCATTATTTTATTTATTAATGCGGCTTTCTAAGTATTGATAAAGAAAAACTGTTTTCCATGTGACAGTCCGATCATTAAACTGTCAAACACCAAGCGGTCACCGGTGACCGCGACCTATTGTTCTTTAATTGTGTCTATAAAACCGGTACTCGACGAGTTAAGGAGGAAATATCCCTTTAAATATCCTAATTTGTTTTTCCCAAAATGTCCATAAAAATCTACATACTTTTTGGTTTGTGGCGCCATAACTACTTACATTACAAAAAAGCTCTCAAGCATATTATAAATTGTAGAGAATTTTAAGTAGTTTAAGTTTGTTTTTAACGTTTTCTCGTAAAATGCACAGGAAAAGAGTTAAAGTAACCAGTCTTACTGGTTTCTATTACTGGCCGCCATTTTTCCGAGATGGCGGCGCGAGCGGCGCGCGTCCAATGTTGCAAAATAGAAATCATAAAGAACACATATCTATAAAATTGCCAATTTTCCCTCCCGGTAAACATTCCAGGTGGAACTACCAAATTATTGAACTATATATTATATAATACCTAAAATTGGAACCAGAGGCCTCTTGTTATTAAGGAGGTAATCTCATTAATTATTGTAAACGATTTTCCTTACCTTAGCCACATATCCTGTTACCACACATCCAATAGCATCTGATAACCCGTAAGTCATCATAACGAACCCAACTGAGCCGGTGCCGACAGCACACGACACGAACGCCTGCAAACAAATACATAGCAATTTGTATGAATGAAATACACCTAATGCCATATATATATAAGGTATTAGGGATATTTATTAACTAATATCACGGAGAATAGATAAAAGGAGATGGAAGTAACGGATAAAAGACAAATTATTATAAAAATATGAGTTTGGCAATTGGCACCCAACAGTGGGCGATTCGGGGTTGAAACAAAGACTCGTGTTGTGAATATCATAAGTATCTTTTAGCAATCAATAGTTTGATTCCGTTAGAAAAATATAACCGGGCATTAGTTTTTCTTTTTTTTATGGGATAGGCCGGTAAACGTGCAGACGGAACACCAGATGGTAAGCAATCGGCGTCGCCCATGGACACCTGGAACACCGAAGGCGTTACAAGTACGTTCCTGGCCTTTTGGATTAGGAATTTGAGGATTGTTGGGGATTCAGGGTATGATAAAGGGGGGGAGGGTAGGTACACAACACAACCCAAGCGTTGCGTTACGTCAGTCTTCTGTGTGGTCGTGGTATCACTCCGGTCGAGCCGGCGCATTCGTGCCGAAGCATATGGCTCTCCCACACTAAAATTACTTATTCTTTATGAAATAAGTTGGTAAACAAGCACACTGATAACCTAATGGTAAGCAATCGGCGCCACCCATAGACACCCAAAACACTAAAGGTGTTGCAAGTTTTAGGGATTAAGAATTTGGGGATTGTTGGAAATTCGGGGATTGGCGAGATTGGGCAAAGTGGTTCTTGGACCTACAGTAGCCTCTCACACGTCGCTTTTCTGTGACACCTTATCACTTCAGTCAATCCGGCCCATTCGTTCCGAAGCATGGCTCTCCCACACTTAAAATGTATTAATTGTATCTCTCCTTCGCAAACTATGAACAATACCACAATATCCACGATATTCCAGCATACTATCTTTATTTTGCTGTTTACGGTAGAAAACAAATAACAAACTTACAGCGGTAAAATCAGCTCCAAAGAAAGCCTGTTGCAGTCCAATGAAGATATTGATGATGACGAGTAGTAACTGCGTTGGTTCCGCCATCAGCTTCAAGGTCACGGCCAGGAGAGCCATGCCCGACAGTCCACCACCAGACCCTGAGCGACCGGAGTCGTACCTATTGCAAGAGAAACATAAGTTTTAATACACTTTTAGGCAAGTAGTATGATTTTGTCTTCTAATATTAGTATCAAATCAATGAATCAGTAAGACTTTAAAAAACTTTTTTTTAAAGAGTAACGATGGAATTTCTTGCTCGTTCTTCTCCATTCGAAGTTACACTTTGGAACGAGCGTTTTGACGTTTCAAAAATGCCCAATTGAGGTTTAATTGATATAAATGCTATGACATGATTGATGAAACGTGGGTGCCATACTCCAGTGTATGTGTAGTATGGAGCTCCTCCATCTACTAACCCATTTTAGGAAATGAAGAAATACTTTATGCTCACCTCTTCATGGAGTCAACGCCTACAGCTACAATAAGTGCTGCCCCGGCCATACATGCGAGGTATATTCCTGAAAACACAAGGTAAAAATCTATTATCGATACATTTTAATAAACTATAATCTATTCGAAATACATAAATAACTCGCAGTATTGTAAAAGAAAGAATAACATAACATCAAGCCTTTTATCCCCAAAGGGGTAGGCAGAGGTGCACACAGAGGTAACGCCCACTTTTCACTATTTATGTTATGAGTCCCATGTAATAGGGGGTGAGCCTATTGCCATATAACGGGCACATTTCCAGACTCCGTGCTATTACTGAGAATTTAAAAAAAAAATCCAGTAGTACTTTGCCCGACCCGGAAATCGAACTCGAGACCCCTTGCTCGGCAGTCGCACTTGCGACCACTCGGCCAATGAGGCAGTCTAATGTAAAAGAAAGAATATGTTTAAAAAACCGTGAAACTATTGATTTCATAATCTTGAACATAATGTATGGACGTCTGTATTTCCTCAATAGACTACCGCTTACTTTAATGTTGACATTTTCCATGAGCAATACAAAGAAACCTTGCTAGCTATGTTTTTAAACAATGTATGTACAATTATATGAGAGAAAAATTAAACTTTATTTTGAGCCAGTTTAAGCTGATTTTTATTAACTTACATAGGTAAGTTAAGATCGCTTCCTTTACTTCTTTGATGAATAACCATAATACTTTTCAAATATAGAAACTAAAATGGTTCTTTGACTTTACCTATAACAATGGTAAGTAATCACCCACTAATTATTACCGGACTGTCGTCAATTTAAAATTCTTTATTTCATGAAACTGAGTCACAAAAAGAGGTTCATAGTTCTGGTAGGGGATTTGACAACAGTACAAGCGTTTAAACTGTCAAACATCACGAAGACACCGGTGACCGCAACCTATTGTTCTTTAATTGTGTCTATAATGACGGTACTCAAAGGGTTAATAAATCTGTTATTCTTACCTGAAATCATCTGAATCTTCTCAGGTGGCTGTGTGGGCAGAGCCTCTCCAGCATCAGCACTAGGCAAGAAGTTGGCTCCACAAAGTACGGGAATCATCGACTCATTCACTGCTGTCACTGCGGCCGTGTTGTTCCCGGATGATAACACTTGAAGAATAATAGTAAACCATACTGTACATACTCTTCATTGCGAAGAAGAAAGATTTTTCGTTTTATTTCATTTTAGAGAACGATTGCAAGACTAAAACATGTAGGCTTCTCTATGCATATGTATCTAAGGAAGTCGTTAAATCTAGGTCCGTTGTCTCAATACAAACGTATATGACCAATAAATGCGAGATATAATCTGCATGAATCTACCCATCTACCCTAACCATGGGGCTTACTCTTGAATCCAATTCCGATCGATCGACATTGGTATTGTGAAATTTCGTACTCTTGAGTTGCAACACTAGCGCCCATTGCCTCCGTATTGCGTGGATATGTAATGAACTAAATGGTATTGAGTTTGGCTTTATATTCCGTACTCTGAATTCTATTTTAACAGCTACGATAGGGGGTTGTATATTGTTGACATTAAATAATTATTGAGATTTCATTGGATTGAAATTGCATTGACATTGAGATGTTTTCGAGAGTAAGCACCCTGACTGAGAAAGAGCCTGACTAGGAGTTAGGATACTGAGAAATATAAAACAGAAGAATGCAATGCATCATTGTTGATCATCTACTTCAACTGACCTTCCTGGTTATGAAATGTAAGAACCTGTAGTCAGAAGTAATCGTTAGATAATGCATGATATGTATAAGCATTTATACTAGTCCGTAATATAATCCAGGCAACAAGTCTTTTCTACCGTGACGGTCCAAGTAGCAGTAAATTCTCATATAGAACTAATGAAGACTTGATTAATAAAACCTTACTTACCAAGTGAAGAGATGAGATTGCCCCAAACTTGGTTCATTTGGAAAATCATGAAGAACAAGCCAAGGAACCGAACCAGCAGGGCCTCGGCTGATATGTTGGATAACGTATTGTGGGCTTCAGATACCTGAAAAATATATGTACCAATAAATATGCTGCCAATATTTTTATGAGAAAATAAGGTTAAGGTTCTTTGTTGACTTTAAGTCGGAAAGAAATAGAAAATAGTAATCAGACACACATTTCAGCTAAGCTCTTTAGACTCATTTTTTTTAAGTCTTTCTACAAGAAAATGTTTAATAATTAAACGTTTTTATGTTTCAAAAATCTCTTCTGCACTGTGGTTTATACTTACTTACACACCACACACACATAGGTAACCAATATTTAAGAATCATCCAAACAGTCTTCCCATGCAAGAATCAACACCACTACGCGTTACGCAACAGCCAATCGTGAATGGCCCTATCCTGAACAAGTATAAAACGTAAAGTGGCTCGACCGGAGTGATACCGTTGCCTCATAGAAAACCGACGTGAAACAATACTTGCGTTGTGTCTCATCGTGTGAGTGAGATTACTCCCCAATCTCCCCAATCCCTGAATCCCCAATAATCCTCAAATTCCTAATCTCCAAAAGGCTGATAACGCACTTGTAACACCTCCAGTATTCCAGGTGTCCATGGGCAACGACGATTGCTTACCATCAGGTGATCTGTCTGCTCGTTTACTGGATTATTCCATTTAAAAACGGTACCTTAAGAAGAACAACTCACCACAGACAAGTAAGTACATTTGGCGCACCAGAGCGGCCCGCCTCCAAGACCCACGATCAGCCCTGCAGGGATCATGGTGTAGAAGGTAGGGTACAGCTGGGCAGCTATGTATGGCATGTATGTGATAAACGATAGGGAAATCGCCCATTTTGTGCCCAGCCATCTGAAACACAAAGCGACGTAATGAGTATTACATAATATTATTCTTTACTGTTCATTGATTTTGATCAAGGGTCACCCATTCAATGTATACCGATCTTCCATCCATTCATCCATATAATTCGATGAATGAATAGATTTGTCCTCCAAACATCCATTAACCACCATCCATCGTCCATCATCCAAACTCCATCCGTCCGTCATTTCATCCATTCAGCATCCAACTATCATCCTTCTATCCATCGCCTTATGAACATGGGAAAGGGAAACACCTATAATATGAATAATGTCAAGTGCCATGAATAATTTGTTTTGGAAAAACTTACTTTATGACTACAACAGGAAGGAAGATATTTGAGAAAATGAGGCCAGCGTAGACCGCAGCTAGTGACGCGGTGCCCAGACCCGCCTCCGCGTTTATGGAGCTTTGAAGGTTAGCTGCACCCTGCAAACGTCAGATATGTTTATTATTTATTTTGTTTTTCCTTTTTACTTGACGACACAACTATATTATTATTCCCCAAATGTGAATAAGTGCAATGAAACAGTGACACCGTCTGAGATTTGACACATATTCAGCTTAAACGTTAATCGCGGATGTTGTTTTATTCCAGCTAATTTAAGTGGGTCGAGTTCTGAAATTTTGGGTTTTCAGTGCCCTATCACTTTGGCTGTACACAAAGTCAAGGTCGAATTAAATATTTTATTAAACAAAATGAAGATGCCGAACGAAATTTCAAATGAATACCGAACAATTAAAAAGAACTCTATAACAAAAAAACAGTTGACGCCTAAATAATTTATACCGTTGTAAAGGTCTCCACAGATCAGAGCGTCATATAAAAACTACAACTAAAGTGTTACCAAGGATTGAAAAAATCTATTCACCGACTAATGGGTACCAGTCGATCTTGACGCTTCCGGAAAGTCTTCTTCTAAATGTAGCATCACTATAATTAAAAGTTTTGTCACGATTTATTTTTATAAGAGGTTTTTATACAAATGCTTATCTATTATAATCATATGTAAATTACATACCTACTTGAATTTATACATGCTTTACCTACTTCTAATAATACGCATTGGTAGTCGTTGATCATTGTATATTATTTGATACAACCAAAATTACCATTTTGTGTCTATATTCGATAAACAAAATCAATTTCCTCTTATGAAAAATTGCGTATATGCAGAAGGAACAGTATATATTGTACTTTTATACTCCTGCCTCTGAGCAGGCTCATCAATATTATTACGATTTATTTTGTTCGTGAGCACCTCATATAAGGCGTGATAATTCCAGTGATGTAGATGTTTATCATTGAAATACTTTATAAGTCACTACCTCTCCTATCAAAATAGAATATTGATGTCACAGTAGGTACGAGTAAGTTTTTATTACTTTTAATTAAGGTATATTTTACGAAAACAATAAAAAATTGGTTATTGCAAATAACCGACTAATTTAGGTACAGCAATATAAAGTCAAGTGACCTTTTCAAAAGTGCATTTAGTTAAAGGAAAATCTTTATATTTACCTCAATTTACTATTTGTCTTGGAAATTACTAAGAAGCTAGAATACCGAAACTTAGTGGTTTACCTAGTACTTACGTCACTGTGAATACCCTGGGATACTCAGGTGTTACCCGTCTAATTGAGCATGTAGTCGCAAGTGTGACTGCTAAGTAAAGCGTCTCCGGTTCATTTTATCTAAGATTTATGGTTAGACATAAGCGTATCTTAGCGTTAGACATCATATTTTCCGAAATAGTGCCGCATTTATGGCAGTAAGATAAGGTTTACCCCTCATAATATAGACTAACCTATACCAGTTACAGGCAACAAGAAGTGACATAGACGAGCACGAATGCTTATTATACCTTCAGGGAAATTAAAGGTGTGAAGATAATTATGAAGATCATTGGAACTTACAAATCTTAACTTGTTTTACATTTTTCTAACCTTTAGTACAATAACAATCAGTCTTAGATTTCGTATTCATCTCCTAAATAGGCTCAAATAGACAACATTTGTAAGTGAGTGTATCTTTGGTAGTATGCTGCGGTCAAACTACAGAACAAAGAGATTTCAGGTTCGTTTTTCAGATTGAAAATATATTAGACATATCAGTCAGACATAATGTTGGGAAATCTACGAAATCCTTCGGACAAATAAACACACAATGTTTTTTTTTTCGAAATTCTAAAATCACATCAAATTTCTAAAAGTTCCTGTTTTCCAAACTCCTGGAAGACTTTCCAGCTTGTTCTTGTATCCACTAACTTTTTACTTTGTTTTGACTGGACTATTAGATGTACTACATTTTGATCACATGGGCGAAGCTGTAGATGCGGATTTATAGTTAGGAAAAAATCAAACTCACACTGTATGCTGTGAAGTGCACCATGAACGCCAGGCTGATGACTACCACATTCTTCATGATCCTCCATGTTTCATTAGGTTTTAGACCTTCTACCGGCACCGGTGACTTTTCCTCGGACATTTTTACACTACACTTTTTTACCTTTTATCAAATGAACTACTTTTTGATATTGAACTAATCTTTGTTTGTATATCCTCTGTGTCAAGGCATTGTTTTATTCCTGTTTTTATTTCAACACTTCACTTTTTTCCGTTAATTTTGTATCTGAAACAATAAAATTATAGTTCTTAGGTACTCGCAATATTTATGACTTGCGTGTTAATACAGATTTTATTTTCATTTACCTACATAAAAAAATATGCGAATCTAATCTGCATGTCACCTCCAAATCCTATCATACACTCGTCAGTTTAATAACAATTTACTTAAATTCATTTATTTTAATTAAACATATTTTATTTGAATTTTTATAGGTATAATGTCTCGCGTCCGTTCAAGAGATCCGCTGACTGTAAACTGATTCAACGCACGCGCATTATGACTATACCTACATCAAACGACCTTGTTTGCAAAGAAGCCCTAGTTTTTTATATGATTTTTAATCTAAAAATCCGGCTAATATTTGTAATTGTATCCAAATCCCACCATAGTACGGAATTACCCGCTGATTATAAGATTTAATCAAAGTTATTGTTTAATTTATCTATTGGTCCGACCATAAAATCAGCGATGAATAAGTATTGGTTGGAGATGTGTTTCTTTTATGGGATAAGCCGGTAAACTAGCAGACGGATCACCTGATGGTAAGTAATCGGCGCCGCCCTGGACACCTGGAACAGCAGAGGCGTTACAAGTGCGTTACCGGCCTTTTGGGGATTAGTGAAGATTGTTGGAGATTCAGGGATTGGGGAGGGGGGATTGGGCCTCCTTTTTTGGTATAACTTTAATTAGCAATTACATATTATATGTAATATCATAACATTTCAGTCTAGATATAGCTAGAATCGCTTTATTAAGCACATCAGGAACAAACAGCCAATTAAAAAAGAACGTAAACATATTTTTTTTCTTTATCTATTTTATCTGACAACAAAGTGATCTGTCGTTAGATGCATTAACGTGCGTCATTAAATAATGTCGCTCTTGATTTAATAACAGCATTTATTTATTATCGCTGCTTGGCATAAACTCGTGGCAATAATTATAACACCTAATGAAAAAATAATTTCTACACCATTTCATTGCCTACGGCTTTATTATTTCTTACCGTTTGTTAGGAAAAAATCGCCCTTTATTGAAAGAAATCTGTTGACTATTTAAATAATTGAATGATAACGAGATTTCTGTAGGGTATTGAACTCGATCTTTGAATGGGGTGTAAACCTTCCTAATTTAATATAATGTTACTTTTATACGTAGGAATAAAATCCTTACTAATATTATAAATCGGAAAGTGAGTTTGTTTGTTTGTTCCGATTTCACGCCGTAACTACTAAACCGATTGCTTTGAATTTTTGCAGACGTAAAGTTAGAAGTCTGGATTAAATAATAGGGTACTTTTTAACCCGGAAAAAATTGATATTCCCGAGGGAAAACAAAAGTATTGGTATAGATGGCGCTGTATGTATTGGTATATGTCACATAGGCTACTTTTTATTCTTTTGTGACGCGAGCGAAGCCGCGGGTAAAAGCTAGTAGAAAATAAATAAAAAATACAGGTTACTCATCTCTCTTATTTAGTATCCTCGCTATTTCTGTGGCCACTTATCGTAATAAGTTTCCACTTTATCGCTTCATAACATCAAACATGAAGCAGCTGTGGTTGTAATACCAAGTCAATCAAATCAAAACATTGTTTTTCATTCACCGACATACCCATCCGAGTTATGTTTTAAGTTATAACACATTTTTTGTTATGATCGCAATTATCTGAGGATTTGCCAACGTATCTTATAAAATGTCTAGTCATTAACTGGTCTGTTGGTTCAATGGGATTTCAAAACATATCAGGATCAGGTTGATCAATACTACATTTTATTCGAACAAAGACAGTCTGAAACCGAGTTAAATTTGTACAAGATACATTACGCAGCTATTCTATCTATAGGTCTTAATAAAGGCCTCCCTCTCTTTAGCAATTAGAGTAATTACCTACGGTTTTCTATTATCCCCATCTTAGTACGGTTTGAGGATCGCCAAAGTCACCAGAAATTTAAATAATTAGTAACTAATTGAACTAAAATTGTGACCATCTACCACTATGGATTTACGCTGTTGGCAGTTGAAGTGGAGCCACGGAAGACTTAACGGGTTACTGAGGCTCCGGCTCGAAGAGCAGAAATAGGAACGGGGTGGATTTTTGTCTGTAACAGTTAGACACTGCCTTCGTTTTTGAGGCGAGAGGGATCTCGCAGTTGCAGGAAATATATACATCACATGAACGTCAAGTGACATATGGCGTTCCACAGGGAAGTGTTTTAGGCCCCCTTTTATTTACGATATATATAAATGACTTTCCGAAAAGTATAGAACATACCATGTCACTTTTCGCGGATGATAGCACTATAACCATACCATGTAGAATAAGAGAAGAATACAACAATGACATAAATAGTAGTTTAATTAATGCCATAGACTGGTTAAACAATAATAACCTAAAAATTAATCTGAGTAAAACTGTTATCATGCACTATAGTACAAGACCGAATGCATCAATTAGTTCGGACATTACATATAGGAATAATACTATTGAATCAGTAACATCAACAAAATTTTTGGGTTTAACAATAGACCAAAATCTGAACTGGAAAGCTCATATAGAAAAACTTGCGAAACAATTAAGTAATAGAGCATATGCTTTACACAGATTGTCTCAAACAATACACATAAACACGTTATTAATTGCGTACTACGGATTAGCTGAATCTATTCTCCGTTACGGGATCATTTTTTGGGGCAATTCAGTGGAATGGGCAACCATTTTTAGGGCACAGAAAAGATGTCTGAGATCAATGTTTACACTTAAAGTTACTGATAGTTGCAGGCCATACTTTGAACAGTATAGGATTCTCACAATGCCATCGTTATACATTCTCGAAATAGTTTTATTTGTTATGTATAATTCTCATTTATTTCCGCGTCTTGAGGATAAAACTCAGCGCAACAGGCGTGATTACACAAAACTTTGTCTTCATCCTTGTAAGACCGCGCTTATGCGCAGAAATGTATTTTGCATGGCACCTATAATATTTAACAAATTGCCAAAATCATGGAGAGAACTAGGTGCCAACCATATCAAGCGAAAGCTTAGACTTTTTTTATTACAGAAGGTCTATTATAGTGTCACCGAATTCTTAAATGACACAGTTATTTGATTGAAGTAAGACATGGCTATTATTTTATAAATTATGATTATTTTATTGGTTGTGATTGTTTCATTGGTTATGTGATTCTTACTATGAGTGTGACATATTGTACGAATTTAATTATGACATAACTGTATCTATAATTTTAATTTTGACATACCTACCTACATACAATTTTATTTGACATTTATAAATGTTTAACGCTGATAATATGATTATTACTTACAAAAAAATTTGCATGCCATGACAAGTGGTAAACATGTATTAAGTGCAACTGTTCTATTTTTTTATCATCCTACATACATGCACCTGCGTGTGTGTGTATGTATACACATGTTTTTGCGAATAAATTTGATTTGATTTGATTTGATTTGACTTGCAGTAGGTAGTCGTAAAGGTTTAACTGGTCTCCCAAACCACCTCATACGGCGACGCCGCACCGGTGTGCTCCTGGATTTTTAGTGGGTATGCCGGGGCTTCCCCCGGAGAGCCCCACATATCCCTCGAGGATGTTACATAAAGTATTTTCCCAAGGTCAAAAAAAAGGTAGTCTTTCTAGATCAACCCGATCGGTCACTGGTGTTTCATGTTTTTTTATTCCTTACACAAATAGTTCATACAAATGCAGGAACAGATCCTTTATTACCAGTAGACTCAGCTAAATAATTCAATACAAGAATGCTTCCGTTGGGATTGAGAATACACTATACATATATCTGTCACTGTTGTACTTATAACAATTAGTCAACGCCGTCAAGATCCAACTTCGTCTTCTCAATATATGTATATAACTTCTCAGTGACAATTACATTTATTTTCACACGTAGGTACCGGCGTGTAATCACATACAGGAAAAACAATGCCTAAACACAATTAGGTATATAATTACCTAATTATTATCTCCTGCTGTAGTAAATCGTAGGCACGTGAGTACGTTTTTTTAATTTAAAAAAATATTTCTGCACGCACAGCCTGTCAATCTATACCATAGTATCAGATTTCGTTAATTCATTTTCAACTTTATACTTTTCTAATTAAGTCGAAAATGTATCAAAATTCGGGGTAGCCTTTTGTACTGTCGCGGAGAACCTAACGGGTAACCGGGGCTCCGGCTCGACGTGCAGGAGTAGGAACGGGGTGGTTTTTAGTCAGTAAGAGTCTGACACTCCCACCCGCCTCACCCAGGCGGGAGCAGTCATTTGATGATTTTCCCCCCTTAAAAAAAATGCCTTCTGTACTACAACTATAAAAAGGTAAAACCACAGGTTAATACTATGCAGGTCTGTACTGTACTACTCAATTAGATAAACCGTAAAGGTAAACTTTGGCGTGTTATTTGCAGGTACAATATGATATGATACGTCATTATAAAATTGCTAAGATCAATACCAGAAAACCGTAAACGACATACAGTCAACTTAGGGAGACGCAAAGACAATTTTCAATTTTTAAATGAATAGACGCGTTTCTTCAACTTTATACCTAAATATTTTCAAAAACCACTACTCTTTGTGCTCATTTAAATGCACACAGTAACATAAATGTCGGTAAATTCATGGGCCTTGCATAATTTATACAAAAGTCAACCTTAATGCGAAGATATTACAGGAAATGTGTTTAAAAATGAGCTCGTTAATCAGATGGCACCATATTTCCTCTGTTTCAACCTTAGAGTAAGAATAGTTTTTCCTCAATAGGAAAGCGATATGGCATTGTCAATGCTACTTCTTAAGGTTTTTCTATTATACATCTACT